ACTTTTCAGATATTCAAAATCAAATGATCTTGATGGGTGGTAGGTAAATGCCACGCTTACGAAAAGCATGTAGTAAATGTTCTCAACCTTTTCGTTCAGTAGCTCATTAGCTTTTCCTCTCTACATAGTAAGATTTGCTCAGTATTTAAATTAAATGTCCAACAAGGGAAGTCTGTTTAGTGTCCATGGCTTCAAGATAAGAAACATACCTAGATACGCTCCAAAACGCTGATTCTAATGCTGCCTTAGAAAGTTATTAAAATTTCCTTCAGCGAAGAATTGCTTGCACTATGTAACATTCATTGCTCGAATTCAAATGCTCTAAATAAGCAATATAAAAGGTCAGTTAATGATTAGAGTAGGCCTTACAACCAATAAGCTTTTATAGCTTGGGTGATTTTTATGGAATAACTGAGGCTCTGTATACCGGTTTCCAAGGATATGAAGTTTTAACTTCTTTCAAAGAATCGTCGTAGGCCCGGAACATTTAGTAATAGTGTGCCTCTTATAATGGAAGTTCAAAGTAGGATGTATCCTTCCCGATGCTCTGATGATTATCCGCCTTATTAGGAAGTGTGGACCTGCAAAGTGCATCTATATTGCTGTCTCGCCACTCAAATCAAAATTCTTCTCCCAGCAATGCCTCTAAAAACGGTATGTCTGTGATATCCTCCAACATTCTTACCGATATCCAATCAATTCTTAAGCAACTCGTCAATCTTTCGAAAGTATTGTTTGGGAGTTGGTGTCTTTTGGTAAGGCAGTCTTCCCTGACTCGTTGGCATAATTTGGGATGTGTCACAAGTATAATATAAAGTGTATCAACGGCGTACGTACCAGCACATTGTCCTGAGCAAAATCTGAGTTAAAGCATCTAATATGTTTGCATTCTAGGATTTTTTTCTTTGGGTCTTCACATGTCTATTAGACTAAGCGCATAAGATATTATAAACAACTATAAATATCTTTCAATATATTTAGAGACGCTTTGAGCGCAACTTCATCCTCTGGTGCCATACTTTTGACTCATTCAAATTCATTTTCTTAACTAGCTGAGGAGGATCTGTGCAACATTTATAATAGAAGATCTATGTTTTTCTAGTGCACAGAAATTCCAAGTACAGATAAGATCAGAATAATTCAAATTTGATGTACGCAAAGGTTTACCAACTAATTTGAGATAAGATGTCGTTTTGCATAAGCTTTCAAGATGACTATATGTTTGAACCTAAATGATGCTGGAAAAAGCGCTTATTCATTGTCAGCTGGCATATCGACTTCGCTCGGCTTTTTATGTTTTCTGCGCTGTTTTTTGCGTCTGACTAATCTATCTCATTTAATTCTGCGTGAACTGCTCATATTTGTGTATGCATAATTTAATGCATTCATTGAATAGTCCTTGAAATTGAGGGTATGTAGTATGTGATGATACAAAGTATACAAAAAAAGTGCAGATCTTGATAAGATCGAACAGCATTCGGCGAGATGTGTTAAAAGGGTCCAATTTTGAA